AATTTGCTGGAAGATAGTCAAAAAGACCTCCATTGATGGATTAGGGATTGGTCTAGTTATCTATCAAAAGCCTGTCACGTCTTCCTGCTATGAAGCACGTAAAAAAGACATTCCACGTCTGTGTGACCCAAATAGACAGCCAAATATTTCTTGGTATGACTGCTATGATAGTTTGATGTATTAATCACCTTGACTAATTTTGACATAATCTTCACCTGATCATTACATAATATTTCCATTTACAGGTACGAGCCTCTAGATGGCTGTCTTCCCCCAATTCCAGCAGTAAGTGAAGATGGCATCTATAACTGGCCTGCACCCTGGCCTGAAAGACTGAATACCAAACCTTCAAGCTTATCTAAAGAATCAGACTCCCTAAAGAATTTCATGGAGGACTCAAATCACTGGTCAGCACTTGTCTCAGACATTTACCTGGAAGGCCTCACCGTGAATTGGTCAAGCATTAGAAATGTCATGGATATGAATGCAGGATACGGAGGGTAAAGAATGTCTACTTTTCGAGGAATTGAAGTTCATGTCCTCATCATATTTCCTGATTCATTATTCTCATTTGTCTCCGAATGTCGGTAACAGGTTTGCTGCAGCACTCATTGATCTACCTCTGTGGGTCATGAATGTGGTTCCCATCCATGAGCCAGATACTTTACCAGTTATCTTTGACAGAGGGCTAATCGGAACATACCATGATTGGTGTGAATCACTCAGCACCTATCCTCGGACTTATGATCTGTTGCATTCGAGTTTCCTCTTAAAAAACCTAACTCAAAGGTCACAAGTTTTACCCTTTTACAGGACTAATAGTCGATTCAACTGACTCCGGGATTACATTTTTTTTTTTCAATGGTTTCATGATTTATTTTTAAAACATTATTGTGACTGCGTTTCAAGAATCTTCTATTCGCCACTTATGGTTTCCTTTTAAAATGTTTTCTTTCTTTCATGTTCTCTCCTTTTCAGGTGTAACATATTAGATGTAGTTATGGAGATGGATCGGATACTGAGACCAGGAGGAACTCTTCTAGTTCAAGATACCATGGAAATGATGAACGAGCTAACTTCAGCTCTCAATTCGCTTCACTGGTCTTCATCTTTGTATCAGGATCAGTTCCTTGTTGGAAAGAAAGGATTTTGGCGTCCACATTCAGATGCCACAGCATGAAGATTTCTATTTGATGGCCTTGTTTTCTCTCTGGCAATCATTCTTTTGGCTTTCTCCTCTTTTCCTTTTAAGATAAAAGCATGGCAAATATACTTGTATTTTGTTTGTTTAATAAAAGTCAAGCTTCGCATGGGTGTATTTTTCCTCAGATATGGACAGCAGCAAAACTATTAAAATGTTAGAATATTATTGTCTGAATAAGCAAGCCTGCTGCACGTGGCTTTACATTCATGGCCAGTCAACAAAGATAATCTAAATTGAGCTAACCCCCTTATCTAAACTTAAAGTCAATAATAATAATAATAAATGGTTTCACTTTCCATTGTTTGATTTGTCCTTCATACCTTTAAAAGATTGTGTGTATGGCGAATTTAACGAGCCTTTGATTATAAATCTTTTTTTTTTGTTAATAAAATATTTAATAAACAAATGAATCTTTGATGGGTCAACAAAAATTGAAGCGCTTGGTGAGAGAAATGGAGTGAATAGTACAAAGAGGGGGAGTGCAAGTGAAAAATTTCAATTCGAAAATTTTCACTTAAACAACTGAAAAAAAAAGTGGCACTCAAAAGAGTTTGGATGTTTAGATATGACCAACTATAACGTTTTTATAAGCTGGGTTTTTTCACGCACAGAATTGACGATATCTTATAGAAGGTTAAATTAGACTTTCATACCAAGAATATCCAGTATTTAGGGAAATTTTAATTACTTTGTTTAAACCATAATGCTCACATTCCTGCTCACCCGTCCGTACGTTTCAAAGGATTTTCAATTTTTAGAAACAAATAGGAAAAGAAAATTTGCAAATCCTTTGGCCAGCAATCTAGAGAAATTCTAATGAGGCTGTCTGTACTAATGGATATCTTCCATGTCATCCATGATAAAGAAAAGAAAAGTCCTTGTCATTTTCATGACGAAATAAATGACCTTGTCCCAGCTGTGGCCTTCGGCAGCCGGCACCGCAAGCAAGCCAGTCGCTCCATCGGGTGGGGTGGGGTGTGAAACTTATGCTGATGCTGATGTCATTGCTATCCTCCCGAGAAGGTGGTTGGCCTCTCTTACTCGGTTTGATTATTAAATTAAATGAAAGGTTCTAATTTCAGGGAAAATTCGATGATGAGTCCAAAGGAGAAAATTGATCAAATTGACGAGGGGCTCTATTTTCGAGAGGATCTTCTAATTCCACGCAATTATCAAAATTTAATACTCCCTTCCTTTTTTTTATAACTGACGTTTAAGAAATTTGCTCTAGTGTACTTTTATCTGTCGTTTTATTATTCCCATACAGTATTAATTATTTTTTCACAATTTTATCCTTTTATCTCTCTTTTTCAATACAGGGTTCTTAATTACTATTCCTAGTTTGGTGGGAGTTAGTTTGCATTGCTTTTGATCTAGTAAAATAGCACCATTTAGTACTCTAGTGAAAGAAAATATGGGTGAATTGGATAATTAATGAGGGTACAAAAGGAAAGTAGTGTACAGATTTAAGCAATGAAAAATTTTTCTTAATTGATGTGCAAAACCTTAAATGTCAGTTATAAAAAAAGGGAGGAAGTAGAAAGTTGAATGAGTGCTTCATGGTTTATTTCCAAGAAGAAAAGATTGTGACTTCAAGAAAAAAAGATTGTTCTTTCATTTAGAAACATATTTATTTCCCTCATTTTATGGTCTGCAATACTTCTTGGTTTTCTTTTCTTCGTGTTTGCTATGTTATATTTAACAAACGAGTAAATCATATATACACCGACAATATATAAATTATCACCGTTGGATTCATGACGTATATGCAAAAGTTTTATTTCAAATTCAAATTTTAGAAACAGAACTAAAGGAACCGACAATATAACTTGAGAATCCGCACCGTTTGGCAAACAACTAATATGAAAATTCAAGACGTTGCTTCGAGTTGGAGTGCTTAGGGGAAAAGAATAATTGAAAGGAAAAGCACCCATCGGCCATTTACTTCAATATGTTTGTTCCCTTGTTAACCTCCAGATTTGGAGGAAGAATTCGGAAATCGATCCATCACGTTTCACCTCAACACCGACAGAAAATTACACTAGTACTGAAAACCAACCTTTTTCTATAATATTTGAACTCACAGAAACATCTCTGCCAACCTTTTTTAATCCAGAAAGTTTTGTTTTACCATATCGCCTTCATACATGGTTATACCCCTCCCCCCCCCCCCCCGCCCCAAAAAAAAAGCATAATCACGAGAAAAAAGCCGTCAAATTTTGTTTAAACGAAAAAGTCCAGAATGTACACTGCTGCGTAGAACTTGAGTATAATATAAAAAGCCAAAAAATATATATAAGATAAAAATATTACTAGAAGCCAATCCATGCTAAGTTGCTGACTCAGTTAACTCAGCCAATGCCTAACTCGTAACTACTACTGGCCCACCACCGCCAATGCCTAAATTTCCAAGTAAGCTCCCGGCCCCGACTGGCCAAACCCGTTAATTATATTATACTATGGTATTAATTATGCAATAAGCAAAACACTTACAAAGATAATTTCGAGGTTGGCCGCACCGCCCACTTGTTTGATTGTGGTGTGGCTTTGCTTGATGCCGCCGGCATCAATAAATTATTTAATTACAGTCGTCGATCAACAGTTGAGCACACCGGCTTGGCTTTTATTTTGCATCTCAACCTCCACCTTCACTTTTTATTGAATAAACCACACCGGGATTTCGTCAGCATGCTACCCAATGCGCAATTAACCCCAATACTTGATGATGGTTAGTGCTGTTAATGGAGCCGACTCTAGTCGAGTATTTGATTCTTGAAGCCAACTCATGCCTCTATCAAGCCAGGCTCGAACTAAGTGGACGCGTCTTGAAGGGTGCTTGAGATCGGCTCAAACAATTTTTGTTGTTAATTTTGATAATATTCATACAAGTGTCACGACTCGATCACACAAAAACTTTATAAAATGATATATATACCTTTTTTTTTTTTATTGAATTCAAAAGAACTGCTCGAATAACAAGCAATTCAAGCAGGCTCGTCTCATTAATTAATCTAATATATTTCTAACTCGAACTCGACTCGTTTTTTAATATTAACGAGTCCAGTTTGAGAATTATCAAACCGAACCCATTCAAGCTTTCGATAGGTAAATTCTCCGATATTAGTATTGGAGTGCTGCAAGTTAACCTTTCACACAAGTTGGCCCATTCCGGACATTAAAACTTTATGTGGCGTGGAGGTGGTCTCCTTTTTTGCCCTTGTAATGCTATAGAACTTTTCTTAAATTAAAAAAAAAAAAAACACACACACACACACACACGCAGGGAGCGCGTTGAACACAAGTTGAGAACATGCAACTTTTGATTAAAGGCAACTTTATGTGATCTGGCATTCTAAGCGTTACTCTGACTTTTGACTAGCGTAGTTAAAAAATAGGTTTGGATTTGCAAAACCCAAACTAACTAATGTGGGCTCAAGTTTGAACCATGATAACAAATATTCAAAGCATTTGTTGGTATTAATGTAATTATTTCAACTTTGTACAACTAACAAAATGGGGGAATTCTTATAAGTTCAAATTTTCTGTTGGATATATAACAAGAGTTATTGATAGAATTTAAATCCTTAAATGGTGTGATGAGATATGTATGACTAGATTAAAATCATGGATTCAATTTAAATCCTTAGATTGAGTTTTTAAAATTGGGCCTTCCCATGGAAAAAAACTCCCCGTTCAACACTCAAAAAAAAATAAAATAATAATAATAATAATATATTTTTGGCTTAAAGACTCGTATTCTCTCTTCTATTCGTTCCTTTTTTGCACTGCTTTGGAGAACTTATCAATATTTTTCCACTTGTTTTTTTATTGAATGTCACAAGGGTTCAGCTTCTCGGTTTTTGTCTGCTGTATACGCGTCTTCTTCGAATATACCAGTACTACTTTGTATTGCCCCGTTTACTGGTCTAATTCAGTTGGCATCAACGCGAAATATACACTTTTGAATCCCCAATCTTTTATTAATTTTTTACTCATTCTTCTCTCTGATCATATTCTTCTTGTTCGAGTTGTGGGCCTGGTCAACTGGGTTTACGAGTGCACGATTGGGACTCTTAACTTCTTTTCTGGTTCAACTTGGTCTGTGATTGATCTCTTTTTTTGGTGACAAAAAAAATTTGTGGGTTCTGCCATAGTATTGATGAAAAATGGTTGAGTTTTGGAAGTGCCGTAAGCATCATGCTCTCGTGCTGATGCTGGTAATGTTTTTGCTGTGTCAAAATTTTAGCTTTTGTTGGTCTCTCAATGATGAAGGTACAATCGGAGCTTTTTCTCTTCTTATTCAAGCTTTCAGTAGAAATACTTTGTTGGGTTTTTCTTCAAAGTTCTGCCCTTACTTCTCGGGATATTTTTATTGAGAGCAAGTTTTTTCCCCTTTTGTGGTATTTATGTGCTGCAGGTTTGGCTTTGCTGAGATTTAGAGAAAGAGTGGTTAGTGATCCTTTTGGGGCTTTGACTAATTGGAACGATGATGTCGGAGTGGTGAATCCATGTTCTTGGCATGGAATTGAATGCTCTGATGGAAATGTTGTGTCACTGTAAGTAATCCAGCCGCCATGAACATCTATCCCTGACTTTGGTATATTTTTGTTTCTTGTTATTTGAGATGAATTTCGCTTTTTCTGATTTTGATACGTTCTTTCCCAGTTATCCTGAAAACAATTAGCTTTTTCCTTAAAAAAAAAAAAAAAAATTAGTTTGCCCTTACCTGTATAGGATTCTAATTGGTTCTGTACTATTTGTTGATTGGAAGACTGTATATAACAAGAAAGGTCAAGGATGGTGTCGCCTGGGCAGAGTTATTGGAAGAGTTATGTGCGTTACTGGAAGTAAATTCATTTGCTGTTTTGTCAAATTATTCTCGATTCAGAGAATGGCCAAAATCTTGTGAGAAACCTATCAATTTTTAAGTTCTGGAGGAAGTGAGGTGTTCTATAGTGTTTTCTCTAGAACTCCTTTTTTAGCCTGAACTTATATAAGCGCTGTGGATACGGGGTCTTAATTTGTATTGCCAATGGACATCGTTGAGAATTGACTCTCCTGTTGCTTGGAGAAGAGTAGCTGATAGCGCTACTTTGAGTTTATGGATGTAATAGTAATTTGTTCCATGTATTTCACTGGTCTTTTGTGCTCTTGGTAAAATGCCTGTGAAATTTGAGTTGAAGGACAAAATAAGGCAACTTCAAAATATCATTCTGTAGTTATTAGACTTCAAGTTTTGATTTGTTAATTATTTTGATATTTTCTCAAGTTCTGTTTACAATTTTCAGGAACTTGAAAGATCTTTGTCTTGAAGGTACTATAGCTCCTGATCTCGGGAACCTAATTCACATAAAGTCTATGTAAGGATACAAAGAACTTGTCTGGATAATATTTTATTTTCATTTACAATCACCAAACCAAATAAATTACTTCGCCGTATATTTTTTTTCAAGGTCTTTGTTTCTTTTACTTTTTAGAGAACTAAAGGGCTTCACTTTTGCAGAATTTTACGCAATAACTCCTTTTTCGGTATCATACCTGGAGATATTGCAAAGCTGAAAGAACTGGAAGTTTTGGATTTGGGATATAATAATTTCAGTGGACCACTTCCATCTGATCTTGGCAACAATCTGTCTCTAGCAATCCTGTAAGTTAGTTATTAGTATTCCCATTTGTTCATTGTCTCCCTGCTCATTTCTGTAACATAATCCCCCCCTCCCCCCAAAAAAAAACGCAGTTTGCTGGACAACAACGAACTTGTCGGCTGCTTATCTCCTGAAATTTATGAGCTTAGAACACTGTCTGAAGTTCAAGTTGATGAAAACCAGCTAAATAATGCTAGGAAGACCTCATCTTGGAAAGGAGAAGTGTTGTCCCAGTATGTTCATGCAATTTTTTGAACTGACTTTTTATGTTTCTAATTTTGTTTATTACTAGTAAGTTGTAGATCTGTAACATCTCTTAGTTAGTTCTGCTATGGAAAGCATTTTTTTCCCTATCCTGATTTTCAGGTAGTTTCTGACTGTAGTAAAGCTACTTTTGTTTTTGTAGGAACATTCCTGAGTTTAAAGATGTAACCCAGCGGAAATTGCTTAATACATTTCCTGGCCGGCCTGAAAATTTACGAGTATTTGCCCAGCCACCCCCCAAAGATTTACCATCAGAGATACCAGGATCGCCCTCTCCATCACCATCACCATCACCATCACCATCACCATCACCATCACCATCATTTTCTTCCCCATCTCCTGCACCAACATTTTCCTCTGCAGGCCCTTCCCCTTCCCCTGTGGCTTCTGCTTCTCAGCCTTCAGTTCCTACCTTAGCGAAGAGCCCCATTGCCCCAGTCAAAAAATCCCGATCAAGTCACCATCATGTCTTGATATTGTCTTCAACTATAGGAGGTTCTCTGCTGCTTTTGCTTTTGGTCACTGGCATATTTATCTGTCGAAGCAGTAAGGTTGCAGTTGTCAAGCCTTGGGCAACAGGATTGAGTGGACAGCTGCAGAAAGCATTCGTAACTGGTATAGTTTTCTTCACTGACAGGATGTTGAAAGTGGTTATTGTTAAAAAATTTTTGACTGTAGAATTGGAGTTATGTAGAATTTCGACTGCAAAAGACTCGGATCAATGGGAACTAAACTTATTTTTGTATAGAAGTCAACCTTGTTTTTATTGCTTAGGGCATTCTGAATTATCAACTCATGAAACAATGACAAGTTTTCAAAGTTGAACTGAGAAATCACTGTCTTACATCATATCGTAGGTGTGCCAAAGCTCAAGAGATCAGAGCTTGAAACTGCTTGTGAAGATTTCAGCAATGTGATAGGATCGTCATCAGCTGGTACTTTGTACAAGGGTACCTTGTCCAGTGGGGTTGAAATTGCTGTAATATCCATTTCGGTGATATCTGCCAAGGATTGGTCAAAAAATATGGAAGTGCAGTTCAGGAAGAAGGTATCATCTGAATTAATTGTCTAACCTATATCTGACATTGAAATGTTTTTGCTAGTTCCTTAATCTTCCTACTTTTTATCCAGATTGAGACATTATCAAAAGTGAATCACAAAAATTTTGTCAATCTCCTTGGATACTGTGAGGAAGAAGAGCCTTTCACGAGGATGATGGTATTTGAGTACGCTCCTAATGGCACACTCTTTGAGCATCTACACAGTGAGTGTCTCTTGGACTTAATGCCCATTTATACGACAAAAGTAGGACAAATGTATTATTTAGTAGCTTCTTGGTGGCAATTGAAAAGATGTCTCTTTTGATTTAACTGTAGGATTGTTATGCATCACAGATTGTTTACCTATAACTATGTACTAAAATTCGGATTCATACATTTTCTTTAAGCTAGTTTGAGTACACAGTCACCCTTTTTTCTTTTTACATAGAAGAGAATAAATTCATGAATATATCAGATCTATTTCAAAAGAGGCTAGAGAATATTCCAATGACTTCACCCTAAGGACAAGATTTGTTAATTACTTCATACATATTAGTTTCTGCTGTATTGACAGCTAATAAGGACGAAGTTTCTGCTGTATCTGTTGTCTTAATGTCACCGTCTTCCTATTTATAATTTAACAGAAAAACCTAGTTTGCATTTCTGACTTATTAGTTGTATGATTGTTCCTTGTATTCCACTTCAATGTTGCAAAATTTTGTATTGAATGTACATACATATTTTTTGGTAAATACAGTATTATAATGCCATCTATGTAGACACAGAAATCTTTCCGTGGACTTTTCTGCTTCAAACTATGAGGGATTGAGCATGCTACAGTTTGACAAAGATAGCCTGCAAACTGGAGAATTATGTTTTAATAGTGAGGAAAGATATTTTCTTAAAGTAGCTTTGCTCTTGGGTTCCTCTTGCCTCTGATACATATCGTGAATTGGAGACTTTTCTTTTTTGTCATCTGCTTCATATTTTCTGGCACCAAAATTTCCCCTGGCTTTGCTGTCTGCTAAAAGCCATTATAATGCTTCAGTGTCTTATGTTTTGTGCCATATGCAGTAAAAGAAGCTGAACACCTGGATTGGACAATGAGAATGAGAATTGTGATGGGCATGGCATACTGCCTTCAGCACATGCACCAATTGACGCCACCAGTATACCACAAGAACCTAAATTCGTCGGCAGTATATGTGACTGAAGATTATGCAGCCAAAATATCAGATTTTGGCTTTTGGAATGAAGTGGCTGCAGCTGAGATGGAGTCAAATCCAGAGAGCAACATCTACAGCTTTGGTGTTTTACTCTTTGAGATTGTAACAGGGCGGCTTCCTTATTCAGTGGACAGAAGCACTCATGGAGATTGGGCATCTGACTATCTGGGAGGAGAACAACCCCTCAGGAATATGGTAGATCCCACTTTAAGTTCTTTTCAAGAAGAGCAGCTTGAAAGAATTTGCACAATTATGAAATCATGTGTTAATCCTGACCCCAGACGAAGACCAGAAATGAGAGAAGTAGCAGCAATATTACGTGAGGTAACAGGGATTGGGCCTGATGCAGCAATTCCAAAATTGTCACCGCTTTGGTGGGCAGAACTTGAGATTCTTTCTACGGAGGCTAATTAGTTCTTGAAATCATATTCTTCTATGAACCATTGTCTCCGATCAGGACCTTGCTGCAGGTAGATGCTGCTTGTAACTAATGTAGGGATATGGTAGTTGTATATAAGTGAAATGCTAGAGGCCATTTTTTTGTTTTTTTGTCAACAATTGTAGGGATATGGTAGTTGTAACCATTGTTTTTTTGTCAAAATGGAAGGCCAGTGTTCAATCATGTCTGCTGCCTATCTTTTGACTTGTATTTGTCATTCGTATCTTGTCCGCTGCTGTGGGTTTTTTTTTTTTTTAATAGGGGTGGTAAATCAGAATGGTAAAAGGAAGAGAGATCATTCAGTCTTCTTACTAACCATCGATAAGTTGAAACATATTGACATTTGATCCTTTGGTTGTGGGGTTTATCAAAAGATTAAACGAGACTTGAAGAAAAATTTAACGATTCCATCCGTCAGTCTCCCCTTTCCCACCACCCAAAGAAGAGAGAGAAAGACAATGCACCCGCACACAAACACAAACACAAACACAAAATAAGTGGTTTCGCCTTCCACATTAAATAACTCAGAAAAATCGGATTGTTTGTGATGCTACTAAAATCTGATTAAATTATGAACACTTCTATTGAAGTGCAATCAGAAATCTAACAAAACTTCTTTGCCAAACGAATTCATTGTCATTCCAAGTTTGCCTTCGGCCAACAGGACGACAAGAATAAGAACATCGAGATGATTTGGGAGCACGCCAGTCCCAATTCATCGCTCATATTCTTCTTTGAGGGTCATGCCAGGAAATCAGATGAACAGCTGTTATTAGACCAATTCTGATTGATAAATTATGCAAGCCAATAACAATCAAGATTGACAATGAGGGGGTAATAGGACTTTCAAATGGTGTTCCGAATCCAAATATGGGCATCACGTTTGCACTTTGCATTAATCAAGAAGCCTCTGTCAAGCTACCATAATTGTACGTGACATTAGTAGTTCCCACGTTAGTCGCAAAAGCTCAATGCACAAAAGACAAGCCCGACCAGCACCTATATATAGCAGACCAAATCCATATCTTCCACAACCACAAGAAGAACATTCATAGTTTCTTGGAATTGAAAGTTCTCCAAGAAGATGGCTAGCACCCAACTCAATGTTTTCACCTCAATGCTTTTGCTCTCGTTGGCCTTTGCGTTGGCAAGTGCCAATGAACAGGCCATGTTTTTAAACTCGGACCGGACCGGCCGGTTCGACCGGTTGAACCGGGAACCGGAGACATGTCCGGTCCGAGTTTGTTCAAAAACTCGGGTGACAAAGACTCGGTCAAAACCGGTCAAAATCCGGGTTTGACCGGAAACTTGGAACAACCGGGAAAACCCGGTTCTTTTTGAGCATCCAATTTCTGCTATTTTTACCAGATTTTTTTTTCTAACATCCAATTTCTGCTATGTTTCTACCAAAATTTTCAGCATGGATATCGATCCTTGAGTGCAGATTCGACGGCAACAGCAGTGGTATAGTCACATATGGCTATTCTAACACAAATATTGAAAGATCTAAAGTTAAAATTAAGAGAATTGAGAAAAAAAAAAAGAAGAGAAATTGATGATTTTCCAGATTGTGTCTAGAAATCATTTATAGTTGAGCCACGTTTTCCTTTGGCAGACCCAGCTTCAGCATTTGACAGAAGAAACTTAATGTGAGTTGATGATTCTCGCCCAACAAAAAAAATAGTGTTGATGATTTTCATGTGATAAATAGAAAAGAAATGCAAAGATATAGAAGTGAAAAAGGGACAAAAGAAAAAAAAAACAGAAGGAGGAATGCGTCTGGATCTGGACTCTGGAGAAGAAAGGACGGGATGGAGAGGACGATGACGGCCTATGAGACTTTGAGGGAAAAAAGAACGGAAAGATCTAGGGAAATCAGCTTTGGGGTTTCAAAGTTTTGTCAATTTTATGGTTTGACCCCTAGAGTGATAGAAAACTGTAAACATGCCTAAAAATCTTTATAATTTATAGCTTCAGCCCTAAATTCTAGTATTATTTTTCAAATAAGCCCTCTAATTTAGTTCTAACTTCTAAACTTGTTGAATATGATTAAATGATATAGATTGCTACTTGACTATATTACTTTATTTGTATTTTCTTGTAAAATATCTTAGAACCACCAAATATACATGAACATACCTTTCTCAAGATTATTACATTTTTAGAAATTTTACATAGCATATTAATTTTTAAAATTAAACATATTTATGACATCATGATGACGTCACCCGGTTCTTAAATGGGTTCAACCCCGGTCGAACCCATTGACCCCTGACCCCTGACCTCGACCGAGTCATTGTCCGGTCCGAGTTTCAAAACATAGTGAACAGGTCCCAGCAAAGCCTGTGGAGAAACATGTTGATGTTGGGATTGAAGGTGTTGTCTACTGCCAGAGCTGTGAGCACTATGGAACATGGTCTCTATCAGGAGCCAAACCCATTTCCAACTCTACAATCGGCGTTATCTGCAAAGACTACAAAAAAAGAGTAAGCTTCTACAAGGCATTCCAAACAGATGCAAATGGTTACTTCTATGCAGAGCTTAAAGGCTTCAAGATGGGCCACTCCTTGTTAGACCATCCCCTGCACTCCTGTAGTGTGAAGCTGGTCTCGTCCCCCCAAGAAAACTGCAATTCTCTCACCAATGTTAATTATGGACTCAATGGTGCTCCTCTACGTTATGAAGACAAAAGATTAATTGGAAGTCGCTATGAAGCTGTGGTTTATGCTGCAGGGCCCCTGGCTTTCCGTCCAGCTCACTGCATTCCTAAAAACCCAGCCTAATTATTCAATTGCTCATCCCTAAAAATAAGCCTGAACCTTTCTTCCATTTTCTGCAAGAGTTATTAACTGATGTTAAATGCATAAGCTACTTCTTTTTTCCAATTTACATTGAATATACTGAATATGTCAAGACCAATGTGGTGATAGCTCACATGTTTATCTGAGCTTGCAATATTACTGAAAAAGTTCAGTATCTTTGCTTGTTTTTCAGTAATCGATTCTCCCCTGTATAATGTTTTATGCCATCAACAAATGAAAAGTCTTTGAACATAAAAAATTGCCAAAAGAGTTCATCATTCATTTGATATTATAGCAGAGCATATTATGAATGGCATCCTGTCTGTGATTAATTAATACAATTTAAAAACAAATAATTCATCAAAATGCTGGCAGGCAGCAAAAATAGCACCTACCAGGAACTCAGAAATCAAGTGGCATCCCAAACATCTTGTTGATTTCAGCAATTGCCTCCCTAGTGCAAACAGTTTGCTCAGACAAATCATTTTCATTATTGGTTGATAACTTCGGGATGGTTTTCCCGAGTTCATTGTCTAAATCACCGTCAGGAAGTATCAAAAACCCACTAGAATTGCTCCTGCTATAATTTGTCTCGTCCTTCTTCTTTGGTCTTCTTTTCCTTACAAATTCTATTGGCTTCCCAAACATGTTGTTTATATCATCCATAGCTTCCTTCAAATTAATGGTAGGTTCCACCAGTCCATGATGACAAACATTTTCCACTGCTGGCTCATCTGAGATGGTGGATCCTACAAATCTGTAGACAGTTTCCTCTCTAACTGGTACTTCCTGTGGCTTTGCAGCATCTAGAATCTTGCAACTACCATCCAAGGAAATGTCCAATGGAAGCGGAAACACAAAACCGTTGAGATGCTCCTTGGAAACTTTAGCACCTCTAGCTGAATTCTGGTCCTTATTGCGGTCCGCTATATCCATTCCAGTGACCATCTCCGTCACATTTTCATTTTCCTCGTCATCTATGAATATCTGCAATTGCTCCTGCAAAGGTGGATGAGTTCTTGAACTATCAGTTTGTAGAGAGGAATCCCCTCTTAAATTTTGACACGATTGTACATCTGATGTTTCTATAATTCCATCAACGAAGATCTCAAGTTTACTGTTCAAGCTCGTATCTGTTTTGGACTGGTTTCTACGTGATCTCCTGCCAATTTGGGATGGTTCTAGAGGCTCTTGAAACATATTATTAATAGCATTCATTGCCTCCTTTGTGTTTATTGTGGGTTCCACTAGACCATGATGTCGTGCATCTTCTACATCAGACTGCTCAACAATGGCAGTATCTACAAATTTAACCACAACTGTATCATCAGTATAGTGTTTTAGATTATCGCTGGACTTTGCTTTAGTTCCTTCAGGATAACTTCTGCTAATAATATCACCCATGACTCCCCTCTTAAGAGTTGAATCACTGGAAACTTGTGCATCACTGAGATCTGAAGCTGCTAGGGCATCATCAGCATCCTTTGCCTGCATCTCATGTTGAGAGCTTTGTGACAGCATCTTCACATCATCAACAAGCCAGGTTCCAATTGGTTTCAAGCACTCACTCTCCTTTCTTCCTCTGTCGTAGTCCTTCAGACAAATTCCAGAAGAAAGTGGCACATTAGAAGTTATCCTTCCCTGGCACTGCAGGATAACTTCACAGCATTAGGCTAAGGCAGACAACTATAAAAATGCAACAGACTGAAACAAGGAAAAATTATAGATTGAAGACCCGATTTTTCTTATTCTTGTGTCTTTCCATGCGATGAAGAAATTGCTCATATGATCTCTGCAACTCATCAACAGGTTCTGCAAGGCTGTTGAATCAGAAGTTATTAGATCTAAAACACAATTTTTCAGCCTGCACAATGTCCTTATTTTGTTAGAAAAGATAATACTTCAGCAGAATCACAACAATGTGAAGTTTTATCCACAAATTCAGGAGATAAGAATTCATCAGTATACCCTGATGCCAGTTACTTGAATGTGAACTTAATCCATACAAAATACTGGCAAGGGACATGATTGACTGCCAGAAGGGCATGAAGCTACATTTTTGCTCTCACTGTTGGAATCTACTTTGAAACGTCTAGATGCCTTATTTTGTATGAAGCGAAAAAGGAAAATTTAGTATACATCTCATGAAAAGCATCAAAATATAAAATCCTACTGAATCACCAAAGGAATGCAGCTCAACTGATGATACAACAGAATCATGACCTCACTATCAGAGCAATTCCAATGAAAGATCTAAAGAGCTTACTTCTGCACTCCTAAATGATACATCTTCTCAGCTGCCTCAAACTTTTTCATCTTCTCAAAGTAGAGTGCATAAGCCTGGTAAAACAGTGACTTTTTCATCCCAATGCGATTTTCCTCC